GTGTGTGTGTGTGTGTGTGTGTGGTGTGTCTGAGTGTGTGAGGGCGGTCAGGTAGCCTTTGGGAGGTACAGTTGGTGGAGAGGCCAGGAAGTGATAGACCAGCAAGCCTACACCTGTGGGCCAGCTGCAAAGGCCCCAAGGGCAGCTGGCTGGTGCCACAGGTGGGGAAATCAAGGCCAAGGGGAGTGGTGGCGGGGGTAGGGCAAAGCACTGAAACAGACAAGTGACTCCTGCCACCAGTCTGACAGTTGGATGGAAGCACCGATTGGCCCAGGAGGGGGCCAGAAAATCCAAGGTAGGGAGGGACAGGAAAAGTGGGAAGGTCTCAGGCCACTGAGCCAGCGATGGGGCCTCTGGCTACAGGAAGCTGGTGGTTGACGGCAGGGAAGCCCAGAGCCCAGATGGAGGTCCCCCACTTACTCACAAAGGCTGAATGACAGCTTGACAGGTGAGTGCGACACCCCTCTCCACTCCCAACCTGCCAGGAGTTGCCCTTTCGACAGGGGGAGGGGTCAGTGTGCGTGCATATATTGGGGAAGCAGGGAGCCTGGTAAGCCTCTCTTCACAGCTTCCACTGCAGAGCCTCATACCTACCTCCAGTCAGAGGTGAGAGGCAGTAGGGTTGGGGACAGTGGACATGGGGGTTTCGGGGCGGGGAGGACGGCTGAGTCCCCTCCCCCAGCCCACCCACCCACACACACAGAGACACAGACACCTACACACGCATGCAGGCTCACACTCACACACCCACACCCACACGAGCCAGTTGACAGCCTGAGCTAAGAGAGAGGGGTATGGGGTGGCGGGAGTGGGTCACAATCGGAAACGTGAACGGGTGGCGAGAATGGCTGTAGAAAGATGCATAATTTTGCGTTATCCCTCACAGTGATGGGTTCTCTAAAGATCTTTCTTCCTCTGCCTCCTCCTCTTTCTCCTCTTCTTTTCTTCCTTGGTGGCCGAGAGCTCTTCTGCCCCCACGAGACCCACGGCTCTTGCTCCCCCTTTTCTCTCACTCTTGGCCTGAGGCCCCCTGCAGGGGGAGGCGAGCTCCACTGGGTTGCGCCTACATTCTCCACCACAGCCAGCCCAGGGCGGAGAGGAGGGCCAGGGGCCCTGGGGGCCTCGGGGCTGAGTTCTCCAGGGATCCTGGGCCTGGGGGAAGAGAAGGGGTCATGGAGGGAGGGCTGAGAGTGGGGGACCCCATGTGTGTCTCTCTAGGAGCCCTGTCTCTTCTGAGCCTACCTCTTTAGGGACCTTTCTGGATCTCTCATTGGGTGTGCCTGCTTGCCTGCTTTTCTGACTGTTTTTTTGGTTTTTTTTTTTTGAGACGGAGTCTCGCTGTCACCCAGGCGCAATCTCGGCTCACCGTAACCTCTGCCCCCGCCAGGTTCAAGCAATCCTCTTGCCTCAGCATCCTGACCTGAATAGCTAGGACTACAGGTGCCCATCACTACGCCTGGCTAATTTTTGTATTATTATTTTTCTTTTTTTTTAGTAGAGACAGGGTTTCACCACGTTGGCCAGGCTGGTCTCGAATTCCTGACTTCAGGTGATCCGCCCGCCTCAGCCTCCCAAAGTGCTGGGATTTACAGGCGTGAGCCACCGCGCCCGGCCTCCAAAATTATTTTTTGTTTGTATGTGTTTGCTTGTTTATCTACATGTCCACTTGTTTTTTGCTTTTCTACTCCTACCAGACTATAAGCTCTGGGAATCCCCAAACCTTGTTTCTTTTGTGCACAGCTATGTCCCCCACGCCCAACCCTTAGCTGGCGCTCAATGAATATTGATTGCATGAATCGGTTTCTTGCATTGCTTTTCAGTCTTAGCGTCCGTCTCCGAAGTTC